TACATTTCTAAGTATCAAGAAAAATAATGTTTTGTCACATATCTTGTTGTCATGTTGTACCAAACACACCATGGATTTGAACTAGGCTGAAGTTAAGAGATCTGTTTGTATTGCCTCCTTTGTAGATATGTCCCTTATTTGTTACCAGGGGTTTTCTTTTCACTGAATCATTTTCTGATACATACGTTGGAAATCTATTTATCTGAATTAATCAGAGCATAGAAGAGAGCAGGACCATTCCCTAGATATTGCATAGTGTAGCTTCATTTTTCATTTAGCACAGATTTAAAGTTAAAACAGAACTAGCGATTTTCAGGCTGAATATAATTGTAATTGATAAAATTAATCATATTACATTATATGATGAGAAGTCTAGATTAAGAAAGGAATGCTAAGAAGTGACCAAACGCAAACCGAAAATGTATTAAATTCCAAAAAAGAAAATTTCTGAAAGATGAAATATTCTTTCTACGTTCAGTATTTTATATTCTTCAACTGCTCACTTGTCATTTGCATACATACAATGAAAGGATGTTAGGTAGAAGGAATGAAAAAATGTATTGTTCATATAGAGGGTAAGTCTTGAACTTTCAGATAAAAGCGGTGGCTGCAAGTCCAGGAAGGCTTGAAGGTTTTGTTTTTTCTTTATTCTTCATCATACTTTTCTGCTGATTCATCTCTATACTGAGGCTTCGAAAATACTAAAAGCATAGTATAATGCTTACATTCTTCTACTGCAAGTATTTAGTAGAGCTGTATTGATTTCATGTCACTTTAAGCAAACACAGAAGAAAAATTGAACCGGGGATTGTGGCTGCATGCTTTGGAGTTAGTCCTGTAAGTTACGAATTACAACTTCCCCTTTGGAAAACATGAATCAGTAAGAGAAAAATATTCTTTGTGTGTGCTTTTTTTCATGATAAATTAGTTCATGATGAAACCCATCCTGTAGCACAGTTTGTTACACAATGCATGTGCTCTTTTAAATTTTTTTCAGGCAGTTAGTTATGCTGATTAGAAACATAGATGTGAAAGATACATTTCTCTTAGGAGCTGACATGGGTGCATTCATTTGCAAGCGAATCTGAAGTTGGTCTGCAGAACTCAGTGCTTTTACATATGTCTCTCCATTCCTCTCCTCCCTTTTATAAAGCAGTCTTGGCCATGGCAGTAGCTTACTTAACTTAGAGTAAAACAGCTGCTCTTACTTGTAGTGTATCCTCAAAGTGAAAAAAAACCCCATTCCTCCTCCCCTCAGAAGGAACGCTTTGCACTTTTTCTGATGTTCTAAACTGATATGTTGTTAATGATTCCTATGTTTATTTCCTCTAATTTATTTTGCCTTTCTCACTAAGGTATAATATTTTTTCTCTAGATGCTTTAAGATGCTTATCAGAGAGTATGTATTTCTAAAGAACCAAGTGTAGAAACAATAGTTGATTCCAATCTGGATGATGACTTTGGGGCTCCTGATGATCCATCATGTGAATTTAATTAGTTGTGTGTTTGTCAATTTCATCTTAATTTTATCTAAAAATTTTAAGGGATTTTTAGAGTTAGAGATTACTAGGACTCAATAGATATGCCATGTTTGCTCATATTAAGTTATTTTCAACTTTTGGATGAGTGCCAATTCTCCAAAAGGTTTTAACATTAGCATTAGCCGTGAGTCTGGAAAAAAAGGTCTTAGCAGAGTTCTATTTGTATTAATAGTAATCCAAGCTGATAGTAGATGCAGACAGCTAAAGCCTCTTAGGCTGGACACAGTAATTCTGATGTTGTAGCAAAACCTTGGTATACATCTAGTGCATAATTAAGAGAGATGATATTCTGGTTGAAGGCCATTTGTGAGATGTATTAATGAGCAGAACACCTTGTCATTCAGAAGAATAGTGGTTATTCTGATCTCTGTTGCCAAAAGAAGAAAAATTCATGTCTGAGAAGAAAAACTTAAATAACAAGTCAAAACTCAACTATGGTCCTCTCCTTTTCCTTCATCTCCTATCTCCAGAGGGGCTACTGACTTTCCTGGGGTGCTGTGAAGTTTCACTTTCATGTGAAAAGGTAATTTGGTTCACTCTCAAATGAAAGTACATTTCAAATGAGCCTGCTTGGCAGCAGTGTTGGGGGAGGGAAGCTATGAGGGGCATTTTGTTCCTTAAGTTCAGTCACCAGCATTTGTGGAGTGGCTAAGCTTCAGAGCAATGTTTCTTCCCATTCCCTCCAGCCCTAGTCTGCAGCTTTTAAAATGTGGCTGTAAAGTTTTTTTAATTCTGAAAAAGTATCTCAGAAGCAAAGGACTCACTGCCCAGTAAAGCAAAAGTAAACTGAAGTATGTGTTGGCATTTTAAGGAAGAGGGGGAAGGAGGAAGGCAGGGAATGAGGGAAGGGAAGGAAGGGAGGGAGGGAGGTGGAAAGGAAGGAAGAGAAGTAAAGAAAGGAAGATGGGGAGGGAGGAAGGGAAGGGAAATCCTTAATATCTTTTAAAGGTGTGAAAGCTTGACAGTCTTTTCTTACAGTTATTTTCTGCAGTTACCTAATGAGAATCTTTCAGGTCTTGATAACATGCCATGACAACAATTAAAACAAAATACACCCTTCAGTTCCAAACCAGGAAATTCCTCCAAAAATCTCAAACACAGTATTTTAGGGAAGAGTATAAGTGTATTAATGAATAAGCAATACGCAGAAATGTACCAAAAAGCCATATTTAAGGTATTTGGTAATGTTACTTCTGCACACAAAACTGGTTTAGGACTCCTTTTGTGAAATGATAGCATAAATCTTTCATAGCTACAAATCAATTTAGAGTCTGGACTAGGATGCTACTGTTTTATTAAAAAAAAATATTTTTCATTGTTGCTTTCAAACATACCAATATTGTTTTGTACTATTGGGTAGACAGCTTTGAGTTGACGAGAGAATAATTCCTGGAGCTGAGATATTTTTGCAGTTACAGAAGGAGCTATAGAATCTCACGAAAATGCTGTTACTACCTTGCTGAAGTGCCATGGAAGTAATCTCTGTGTTTACTTAGTCCTTTTTATTCAGAAAGCTTTGTGTGAATTTCTGTGGTCAGCAAAGGTGGTGTTTGTTCTGACAAGAGCTGGACAAAAAGCCAGCCCAAGGAAGCAGAATATCCCTGTGCTGTGCAGCCAGGTCCTGCCCTAACAAGGAGAATGGCTTGTGTCTTGTGATGCTTTCCTGCTGCTTGTGGCAGGTGAGGGGAGATATGCTAGACAGGCCCATAAGGTGAAAGGACAGCAGTTTATCTGTGGAAATCAAAACAACAGACAGTGTTTAGTGTCTGCTGGCTCCAGTCTTTCCTCCCTCACTGTTAAGTGGGAGTTAAAACCCACCTAATGATGGGGTCAGAATGATTTATGTAGTTTGCTGTGGGCATACCTTCTCTGCAAACAGAGAAGATCTTCTGCATCCTGGTGGATTGGAGTGAGAAGTGGGGACTTCTCTCCTTTGCCATAATGTGTCTGGAATTCAGCTAGGTAGGCTGTGGGCAAAATTAAGATTTTTGCTATTTGGCGTGTTGTAAGGGTTCATGTTCCGAAACTCATCTGAGCTGGGAAGTGAATTTAGAAGGACAAAATCTGGCAAGGGGAGTTGAAGTCACCCAACTCTGGTGGAGCAGGGAAGCAGCTTCCTGTATGTTGTTTCCCACTCACACTCATCTTTCCCCCTTAAAACTTTAAAGAGGGGCAGAATCCCAGCAGAACCCGCACTGAATTGCATGCACTGATGGCAGGAACAGTCAAGAAACACAGTATGGTTTCTATTGCTAGGTCGTGTTTCCAGGTGACAGTGAAGTTGCAGCCTAATTAAACCACAGTCCTTGTGTCTCTATATGACTGGGACAACTGAGACTAGCTCTTGGTGTTATTCAAATGCTAGTATAATCTGACAGGTGCATTATGTCCATCAAAGAATAGTAAAGGAAAATATCAAACTACCGATGAACAGGAGTTGAAACCAGGAGAAGTATTTCAATTATTGTATTTTGGAGTTTGTGAGTGATTTAAAGAACATAAAGAACTATGAATATGTATCAAAACCCTAAATAATGCTCATTTCCAAAATAATTTTTTTTATGAAATATATAGTGAAAAGTAAGGAAAAAATATGTGGTAGTTTTAAAAGTTTTATTTGAGGATGATCTAAGCTAAAATTGATTTGTTAATTATAAAACTTGGTGACTTATTAAATCATGTTAAGTAAAGAAAAATATGAATTTAAGTTGCTCTTAGCTGTAGGGTTGCCTTCACTCTGCACGTTATTTAGCCTCTGCTACATTTTATGAGAATAATTTGTATATTTGTTATTTAATTGTCATCATGGCTGGGCTTCGCAAACGAAGATTTGGGAAGGCTCTAACCACATTTGTTACAGGCATGTTGGTGACTTATTTAACTGTAGCAATTATGAAAACTCATGGTATATTTCCAGTGGTACTGTTTGCATTATAATACTCATGAAGATAATGATTTTAAAACCTCTTACTAGTTCCTGCTTTTCAAAATACTACATCTGTGTTAATAGTTGTATTTTACTAAATTTTCCTTTGGTTATCTGAGTGGACTACTTCAAGTCTGGAATGGGTGCTTGTGAAAAGTATGGCAAGACTGTACCTTATACACATTCCTTCTAAATGTCCCATGAATTAATTGTAGTATCTGAATTCATTTTAGCTGTACTAGTGCTATAAGTTTTTGTTGACATTCTTTGGTATTGTAATCAAACTACACAGTACAGTTTCATGTCATGTGTGTAAAAATCATGTAACAGACTGAGTAAAATTTGTGTAGGTAATCTCAGATTCACTTAAAATTAATATGCCATTTAAGTAATACGCAACCTACTGAACTAATGTCAAAGCAGTGTACACTAATAATTGATCCCCTACTTTATTTAGTTGCTTTCATAATGACATTTTAACAGTTAGAAATGTAAATAAATACTTTTTCATTGTGTTTTCTTTTCTTCAACAGGATACTACAGGTATAGAAAAAATGTCAAACTGTTGTGAAGACATGTAAGTTCTGTAAAATTTTTACATTGATGAAATGCTAAAGGAGTTGCTGTTTTTTTTAAACTGGGTGAGAGAGTAAAGGAACTGAAGGCACTTTGATAAGGTGATTTTGCATGGTACTGTGCCTTGTACTTCCTATCTTTAGCAGCAGCTCACTAATCTATTAGTATTGGTTGTACACAAAGTAACCTCCCTACCCAAACCCAGTGGAACTATATTTTCTTTCAAAAGTACAGATCAAAATATACTTTCTGCTGTGTTTTGACATACAATTCATTGATTGTGAGGTCTCCTCTGCTTCAAAAGTTGCTTTTGTTTCATTGATGACCCAGATAGTTTCTGTTGTCCAAAGTTAAGTCTCAGCTGCATGCTGTAATGAAAGGAAAGCTGTATTTGTGACGCTGAGACACAATTCATCAGAGTCCAGAAATGGATCCCCAGCCAACCTACATTGTTCTAGCTGACTGAAGTGCACCGTGGGCATGCTGTCTTTCACTAATAATGCTGTCTTCTGTAGATCGAGGCCCCGAAAGCCATGGCAGCAGACCTTCTCAGAAGTTTTTGGCACTCACTGGAAGATCCTGTGGTTTATTCCTTTCAGGCAGAGGCAACCACTGCGAGTTCCCTACCACTTTGCCAATCATGTCTAAACAGATGGATAGTGGGCACAGATGGGTCCTCCATGCTGGAAGTGCGTTACAGGTTTTATGATAATAGGACTATGACAGTCTTCAAGTCAATTAAAATCCAGTTGTAGGCATCACAATGTGCCCCAGGCATTATTTTAGTTGTGGTGTTGATTCTGTTCTGAGATTAATGCAAATTGATTGTTTAACTTTATGCATATTTAATTTCAGATTAGCTTTCCAAAGAAATTTCTTTTGGTTTTGAGATTAATACCAAAAGCAAATGACTGAAATGCACTCTTCCTCTATTTGTTTGATACTGGCTCTTTGTTTTTTTTACCTTTTTTTTTTTTTTTTTGTAGGAAGCACTGAAGTTTACATTTATGGTTAGATTTCTCTCCAAGTGTCTTATTCTGCCTTGAATTTTTTTTAGTGTTTTTATCAGCAGGTCTGTCTAGATAATGTCCTTTTTTTTTCTGCATGTGTTGAACTGATACTTCCAGTTATTTATGATATGCAATAGTAATCCTGCAGCACCGCACTATAAAAGGCAACATTTAAAACTGAGGCAGACTACTTCCTAAACCTTTCTCAGAGAGGTTTTTTATAAATACACATAAATGTGTATGTTTATAGAGAGAAGTCTTACATCTTACAGTTATCTTTCGGCCTAGATATGATCTTAGTGAAAATTATTCATGTCTCTATGTCAACAAGCAGGATTAAATATTCCAGGGTAAACTGTCCAAATGGGAAGTGTGTTTTCCCTATATCCCGAGGATTTCCTTGCAATAATTCAACAAAGAAGTTGCATGGTGCAAATACTGGAATGCTTACTTTTTAAAAATGCAGATGTAGTTAGTTAGCATAATGTACCATAAAAAAGAGTATATTGTCAATAAAGTTATAAATTTTATATTTTCTTTAGTCATGATTATCTGGAAGTCTGAGTGTTTGTATAATGGAAATACAAATATTTAAAATATTTATACATAAATATAGATTTGTTACTAACGTGTTCAGTGAAATATATTAACTCATTTAATAGGGTATTGTGTTGATGTAGATAACTTGTTGTTCCTTTAAGTATGGAAGTAGTTAACCAAAGAAAGCATCCTTCATATCTGGTAAAATGACAACAATTGCCAAAGTACTGGTTTGGCCTTTCTGTATCTGGAAAAATTATGTACTTATTTTAGCCCTCTGTATCTGTACAAATATCAGCATGAGATGATTGTGGAAAGTACTGTGAATTTCTTCTAGAAATTCAGTGGTTTTAGTTATGCTGCTTATAATGTTTTTTTGCGTAGTCTAACAGGACTAGGTTCCACCTTAAATGGCAGCCATGCAACTGGACACAATAAAAGATACAAAATCAGGATAATATATATATAGTTTGTGTAGGAAGTAATACTTTATTTGGAACAGATCATCCAAAAATGAAGGGCAAGACTTGTCATGAGTGGTGTTTGTAACAAATTTTAAAAGATTCGTTTGTAATGCAGTTTCTCTCAATGTTAGAGGTCCCTTTATTGAATTAACAGATTTTGATGATCCACTGACAGTTCCAAAGGGTGCATCTTAAAAATCACTTGAATTTTAAACTTTTGTAAACTTCTAACATTTGATCCAACTTTACTTTTCCTCTCTTTTTAAAAATAGAGGATTGTATTATTGTTTTAAATTTCAAGCCTAATATTCAACCATTTTTTTATGCCAGTTTTAGCAAGCCTAGACTTTCCTTGAGGTGGTATTGGCCGCAAGATTTAAACAAAAGACTGGGACAGTGCTGGAAATGAAAAAGAATGTGGATACTCATAATAAAGTAATGGATGTATTCTCTTCCCTCTCCCCCCTTCCCCCCCCTTTTTTCTCTTTTTTAAAGGAATGCCACTGTTATAGTCTCTGGCATATACAGGGGAATAATAGCAGTTTCATTTTCCATGCCAATATTTAAATGTTCCATGAGTGAAACACAGAAGCTTTTTAGAAGATTTTTCGTGCTAATCAGTTATCGTAGTTAGGAGATTTTACTGTTCTGAACCTTATTCTGAAAGAGGATCACGAATTTAACTATTTTTTTTTACATTTACCGTGGGGGGGGGGCATATAATTGTTTCCTGGTGTTAGTGTATTACCGAAACAGTGCCTGGAGCACCAAACCTGCCGCGCAGAGCGCGCCCGACGGCGGGAGCCTCGGTGGCAAAGGGAGCTCTTCGTTTGTGTGCCCGGTGCGCAGCCGAGCCGCGGGGCAGTGCAGTTCCGCGGGCTCCGTGGGGATGGAGGATCCGGGAGCAGCCCGTGTTCCAGGGGCCGGGCACGAGCACGCGCCCCCTGTCGCCAGTTGCCCGTCGCGACAGCGGCGATGCGCGGCCCGCGAGGGGCCACTCCCCGGGAGCCGAGCCGAGCCCCGGCCATGAAAACCTTGCCCGATTCCCCAAACGAAATTCTCGAACGAAAGTGTTGTTTTCGCAGATTCGCGACGTCTCAAATGTTTCTGTATTGGAAGTTTTGTTTTTTTCTTTTCTTTTTTTTTTTTTTTTTTAAATCTGCTTTTTCTTAGCCTCCCATCCATCACAACATTAGTAATCAATATGTAATATGATTAAGGCTGCTAGGTCATTTCTGCCCCTTTTCTAGGTATTTAGAGAACAGAAGAGAGAATTTGGAGAATCTTCCATGTTTTAGGAGGTACTGAACTGTATTCTTTGAATGAGAGGCCTCTAAGAGGGTAAAATGAATAAATTTTTATTTTTTTTTTACATTTAACTGAATGACCATATCATGTTATTAGTTTATCAGAGTAATGTCTGTAATAAAAGATAATGCATTAAATAATGTCTATGAACCTGTCCTCAGATGTACTGCTTTGAAGTAGAGGTTCCGTCTCACAGCTGCTAGAGTAGTTCAGATACACAGTCATTTTCAGTCTTGAGGAGAAGGAACTAAGAACCAGTTTTTAGGATGGAGTTTAAACTAGGCAGCTTACTCCTTGTTATGCATCTAGAGGAGGCAGACATGACCAGAAGATTCATAAAAGCACAGAGAAAATGGAGATGGGCCAAAAGTGTTGTTTTGATTTGATATCAAAGTTTACCAGTTGAAGTCATTGCAAAGAGCAGGAGTTTCTGTCATACATTTGAGGATGCTATCAATTATATGGGTTACTTAACTTGGCTATTTCCACTTTTGTCTTCAGTATGCACTCAATTTCACTGCAGTTCACTGGTAGGAGGCCAACATAGCTTCATTGGAGCAACACAAATACAATTGACTGTTGGCAATTTTCTCAATATCCCAACTGGAAATATCACTGCATTCCTTTTTTTTTTTTTTTTTTTTTTTTTTTTTTTTTGTTTGTTTGTTTGTTTTATTTGTAGGGTGTGGTCTTGATCTTTCTGGACAAAGATTGGTGCTTATTCTACATGTATTCCCATCAATAATACTGGATTAGCACTTCTAAACTATTCCTAAAATAAAATCTAAGTGCCCTTTCTGAATAAGAGCTGCATAAAACAATGCAGATCTTAACTAGTGCCACCTAGTACTTCTCATTCTCTCTCGTACTTCTAAAGTACAAGCACAAAAATTATTTTTTTTAGCATTGTGTATAAAAAATCACTTTTATTCATAGTCTTGTAACTGACTGAAAGTTAACTGTCAGAAGACAAGGGTACTGTTCTGGTTTTTGCACTTCAGGAAACAGCTAGCTTTAGTTTAACTGGAAAATCTCATATCTGGCATTAAAGTCTCTAGAGGAAGGTTTGAATCTAATTAAGTGATCCGACTGAGCATTTTACCTGCCCACCATTGCTGATAAAAATAATCCTAAATAAGTTCGTATATACATAGTGCAAGCCCGGTGTACACATTTCTCAGGGCCTGTCCCTTCTCAGTCAGACCATTTCCCTCTGAAAGGATTTTTCTTTATTGCCCCCAGTATAAATCACCATTAGTCATACCTGATAGCCATTGTGTAGCTGTCTGTTAGCTCTTACCTAGGCTGAATGAGTAGTGGGCACATGGTGTGCTGGTGTGCTTCTTGAAGTCCTGGTAGACCTCAGCTTACTGCCTTCCAGCTGCATCAGGTTAGTCGTCAGGTAAGAGGTAGATACTTACTTGAGATTATTCCTTGATGGCCCATAGATCTCGTGCTTAGATTTTCTGCTGTGCTAAGTAGTGTGAATCCTTGAAGGGCCTTTGAAATTAGAGGTCCCAGACCTCCAGAAACTTTGCACTTTGTTTTAACCAGATGACTTAAGGCTCAAGTTTGGCTTAATTTTCCTGCTCAGTAGTTGATGCTTGCCATTAATGACATAATGCATTTTTGTGTTTCACGGAGAAGGAATTAGGTTTAAAAATAACTTCTGTCAGTGGCTCAGAGGCCGAACCTGTTGGTAGTGTCTCACAACAAATCAGGTGATAGTCACTTCTCATTCAGTTCCAGACCCTTTGTCCAAAGTATTTGCTATTTGACACTCAGTGTTTCCATAACACGTATATGTGGTAGGAAGGTTCAAGACAGTGCAAATTAGAATGTTTTCAAGAAGCATTTCTTTGTCCTGGGAAGAAATTCTACTTTTGAGCAATTTACAGTTACGACTTCTGTAAGACATCAGAGCTTTCTTGGTTGTATTTGAGTCCCATTTACCCAGACAAAATCACTCTTGTTGTTATTCATGTTCTACCTAAAAGTTACTACCTAAAATGACTTCTTTTCATTTCTCTACTCACTTCCAATTTTGATGGCTCTTTTCCTCTCTTTTCACTGAGCGTACAGCAGCACAGCATAGTCCTGCCTGCCGTTATGTTTGTATCATCTTGGCCAGAATTGACAATGAGATAAAGTAGCCTAGGAAGGTGTTGAGATATGGAGTATTGGTTTGATTTAATAAAAAAAAATAAAATTGATATTCCAAATCCCTGGTTCCATTTGGGTTTAGGTTGAGAGCAAATCATCAGTTGCTAAGAGATCTGATAATTTTTATAGATTGTTTACACTAAAATATGCAGAAGGAAGTTGTCACACCTTTTAATTGGTTTTGAAAAAGTACTGCCTTTTTTTTTTTCTGTAATAAAGCACAGCTTGAGCTTTTGGTAACCTTCAGCATTATTTTGTGTAAAATTCAAGTTGTCATTATCCATCACACAGACAGTTTTGAGGTCCTAACACTTTGCCTAATTTAGAATTAGATTCAAATTATTAGCTGGGTAAAATCACCTCCCTCAGCCTGTTGGCCACACTTCTTTTGATGTAGGAGCTTGTATTTACAGTAGAACATGTGCTTTTCAAGTTAGAAAATAGGAAACTTATAATTTATGTGCATTTCTGGGTAAGTATTTCTATTCACATTCCCAAGACTGATATCTGTAGATCACAGTGTAGCCTATAGATAGAAAATTATCACTCTATCTACTTAACAAATAGCAAAATAATACTGATTTTTGTAAATTAGCATTCTGAATTTTGTAGCTCTCACATGGGCATGTGATTGAGTTTTACTAATTTGTTGTTAGTTTGATGTTGACTGTTTTCAAATACTGCTGAATAATGTTCGTACTGGAGTTGTTGAAAATTACAAGGTCTAACACTGCTTATATCTGAGTGGGTAATGTATGAGATGAATGATTGAATAATATTAGAACAGGGAAGTTTACTCTGGTATTCTTTCATTAAATCTGAAAGTGTAACAGTATATCCAGCTGATAAGCAGTGTATTGTTTTTTATTCATCTTTGTTTACAATTTCATTAATGTAATATTTCTGTGGGGTTTTTAAAATTGATTTAAGTTATAGATTATTTTTTCATTCCTATTGAGAATTCTTTCATCTCGTATTTTTTGGAAATCTTATTTTTAAATAAAAAAAATAAAAGTTTCTTTTTCTCCTCTGGATTTCATTTATATTGGTTTAAA